ACACACACTCTCTCTCTCACACACACACTCTCTCTCTCTCTCTCTCACACACACACACACACACACACACACACACACACACTCACACTCACACACACACACACACACAAACATACACACACACGCACTCTCATTTACTCACACACACGCGCATACACACACGCACACACGTTTGCTTCACTCTGTTGATGAGCCCATCTAATGGATTTCCATTGTTTTTCTATCAGGTTAAAGATATCGAATGATATGAAACCTGTGCAAAGCACTAGATTTAAATACAGACATGGTTTTGCTGATTTCGAAGCGGATCTAACTACTGAGGTTTGCCTCACTAGTCTGTTCTCAGCAGGTCTTACTGATGATATTTTGGACCTCATAAGTATAAACTTGCACACACACAGCATTAATAACCTTAATAAACTTTATTAAATCATGTAAATCATGTAAAGTGTCCTCATTGTCTGTGGTCGAGTGTGATATGTCTATGAAATGACTTCATGCATATCTGTCTGTTCCCAATGGATTCTGCTTCTTTTCCTTCCTGTTCACTTTGAATTGGTGGAAGTGCACACTGTGTGCCTGTGTGTGTTGTGTGCGTGAGTGTGCGTGAGTGTGTGTGTGTGTGTGTGTGTGCATGTGAGTGTGTGTAAATCACACAGAATGGAGTGTATTGAAAATCTGAGCGCGCGCAAAGTTTCCTGTGAGGGGTAGGTTTAGGGGTAGGGTTGGTGTAGGACAATAGAATATACGGTCTGTACAGTAGAAAAACCATTACGCCTATGGAGAGTCCCCACAAGGATAGCTGACCAGACATGTGTGTGTGTTTGCGTGTGTGTGCGTGTCTGTGTCTGAGTGTGTGTGTGTGTGTGTGTGTTTGCGTGCGTGTGTGTGTGTGCGTGCGTGCGTGCGTGTGTGTGTGTGTGTGACCAAATGTCCACACAAGGATATTAAACAGAAAATAGAGTTTGTACAGTAGAAAAACCATCCCGCCTATGGAATGAACCCACAAAAAATGAAAACCAGTAGGGGTGTTTGTGTGTGTTTAATATATTGTCCTTACATGTAATATTAGCGTAGGTGAATGTGTTATTGGATTTTATTTTTATAATTTAATTTGTGTTTTAATGCGAATTTGTGAGATATATTAAGATACAGAAGGTATTAAAAAAAGAAGAAGACGTTTTTAAGTGTAGGAATCAAGCAAGGCAGTTCCAGTGGCTGAAATGAGGCTATTCTATTGGTTGTTTGTTTGTTGTTAAGCAATTGGCTGTTTTAATCCAACACTGTCGCTCTGTACTCTACAGCTTCAGCAGTGCAATCATGGGTTTAACACTGCTCCAGAACTACCAGGGTTTAACCAGAAAATAAACTTTAAGGTTACATGCAATGGGAAAAGCCCAAGAAACACACCTCAAGTTTACTAGGTTTAATAAGCCTTATCTTTTGAACCCACTAAGATTTTCTTTTTAACCATTTTGCAGTTGACAGAATCACTGGAATATTAATTTATGCCAAACAACCGTCAATCTAACATAGAGTACTGTTGGCTTGACAGGCTACAAATTGCTAAAGCAGATTTAGAAATACTCAAACGAGACTAGGGAGAGATCAGAAAGTATTGAATTATAGTTATTCGTTTATTTATTTTTACATTTTAAATTGTTTCAAGTGTAGTAAATCACAGATGCATTTGGTCTTACCGTTCATGAAACCCTCGTCATCTGAGCTTTCTCCGGCCAGAGGAATGAAAGAATAAAACCCCTCAGAATCTCACCTGGAAGACAAGAGCAAAACAACAGAAACGGGTTACATTTTAGAATTCAAACTGTTTGTTCTCTAGTGGTTCTGTCTGAATTTATATGTCTGTTTGGAGTTCATGATGTGCTGGATACGTCTCGATTTTGCTTTGGTTCTGGATTTGTGGTGGTCCAATCACAAGTGTTCAGCACGAAATGCATGTGTAAATGGGGTACAAAAACGTTAGTTACATCTGATGATAAATTATCCACTCATGTTAAAGTCCATATGGAAGCCTGTTTCTGACATGGAATGAAAAACAATAAAGGTAATTGCAACTTATCTTACAATTAAGATAAGTCGCAAATGCTTAATTTTTCACAATTGCAAGTTCCAGATGTTTTCTTTAGTAGACAGATATTTTCATCAGTAAGACAACCATTCTGACAGATCAATTTAAATGGATAGTTCACCCAAAAATGAAAATTCTGTCATTAAATTATCTCCGGCCATTCTCGAGAGTACCACAACAGATGTGTGTGATGCTGCTGACGCAAGAGCCGGCGTTCTGACATAAAACACACATTGGCTGCGGCTTGTTTACAAGCAGAGGAATGCACACATATTCGTCGTGGCACTGTAGTGATTGTGAATGGTGGCAGGGATTGACACAGAACAGAAGACATTGTTAAATAAAGTTGTTATTTTGGTTTCTTTGCACACAAAAAGTATTCTTGTAGCTTCATAAAATAACTGTGGAACCATTGATTTCACATGGACTGTTTTAACGATGTCCTTACTTCCTTTCTGGGGCTTGAACGTGGTAGTTCCATTGCTGTCTATGCAGAGTCAGAAAGTTCTCGGATTTCATCAAAAATATCTTAATTTGTGTTACAAAGATGAACAAAGGTCTTACAGGTTTGGAACGACATGAGGGTGAGTAATTAATGACAGAATATTCATTTTTGGTTGAACTATCCCTTTAAACTATGTGTTATGTTGCAGTTCCTCAGAAAAATACCAGCAAACTGGAGAGTAATTGTTTTATATTTTACGTGCCAAAGCTAGTTTTTACTTACATTTGGCATGGCGCATGTTAATTTTTGACTTGCTGGTGTGCTGTTTTTTGCACTTATTCTCATCAAAGCTAGATCATGTCCTTAATCACATCAAATAACCACATCCCATGAACCTTTGAGTTTTCTGCCCAACAGTACATCCATCCCTCAGGTCTCATTTTTATTCACATCATATTAACTGTGCTAGCCTGATGTGTAAACAGCAATCTGTCTCATGTGACCAGGTGTAATCAGGCCTCTGTGTGCTTCATTACAGTAGTTTGTCTAGCCACATGACAGCTGATGATTGACTGATGATTGATTGACTGATTAGATTCGGGAGCTCCACACACTGTCAGACCTGAGCAATTAGTCTCCAAGGACGATGAGATAAAACAGCATTAAACAAAGTCCTTTCCACATTCTCGTTCAGTTTTCTCATGTGAGTCCCCAAAGCTTAGCGTTTTATTTAGACTCACGGCTAATTATGCGGACGGATCTGTTTACTCTTCAGATCAAAGTTTCTCCCCTCTGTGTTATTCACAGATCTAAACAGTCCTTTCATTAGCATGGCCAACAAAGACTTTAGCACCGCCCCCTGAGAAAACTCATTAATCAGTGTGCATAATGAGTTTAGTGATTTAGAGTTAAATCCGCCATGCTAACGGACTCCTGTCTAAAGTAATTCCACTTCCTGGAGTCACGTCAGTGACCTCAAACTCTGAATTGAGTAAATATACACATCTCACTTGATGAAAGAAACAAACTCTACTGTATTATTCTGCTGAAGAAAAGACAAAGGCAAAATTCAGAGTCAAATAATTAGCTTAATGCATGAGTGTGAGTCTGAATTGTATTGATAGCACTGCACTTGATGCTGAACTAACAACAATTTAATTAGAGTGCACCGCTGCACCATTAATTTGGACTAATTGTGCCTACGGTATTTATTTTCTTGATCATATGATGTGCAATACTGTCAGTTTTCACAATTAAAATTTTCCATACAGACCCACAAAACTGACAATGTTTACAGATAACATATACAAATGTATGAGCGCAACTGTATGAACACAATATATGTATATTATTGGATGATAAAGTATATCAATTATTATAAATAGATCAGTTTTAACTAATGTTTTAATGACACCTTTGTGTAAGTTAAATTTCACATCTTTTTTTCTCAAAATACAATGACACAATAAAAACTAATTCTATTCAGCCTAGTGATATCACCCAAGCAAGCATGGACAAGGAGAAGAGCAAAGGACCTATTATCGAGCATTGTGGCACACCGTAATTTACCACTGTAAGATCAGACATCTGTTCATTTTAACAAAGTAGTATCTATTTAAAGTCTAGGATTTGAAACCAGGCATATTTGACATCTGGGCAGACAGGTGTATCAAAGGTCAGTGGATCAAAGGCAGTGTTGGGGGAAACACATTACAGCAAAAGTAACGTAACACATTACTTTCCATAAAAAGTAACCAAGTAACGTAATTAGTTACTTTTTTTTGCAGTAACGCAATATTGTAATGCATTACTTTTAAAAGTAACTTTCCCCAACACTGATCAAAGAGTCAGGACAGGCGAGAGACAGGGTGGATCACTTACATTTGTAGTTTTTATATTCTAGTGCTAGTAAATATATTTGTGTCGTAGTTTTTCATGTCACTTTTGTATATATCAAATGTCACACTTTTTTTCCTCAAAATATAACGAGGCAATGAAAATTAATCCCAACCAGCCCTAATGAAATCACCCAAAGCGAGCATGAACAAGAAAAAGAACAAAGGACCTAATACCGAGCCTTGTGGCACATCATAATTTACCACTGTAAGATCAGATGTTTGTGCATTTATACAAATAAAGTGGTATCTATTTGAAGATTTGAAACCAGGCATTTTTGCCAACTGGGACAGACAGACAAATCAAAGGTCAGTGGATGGCCAGGACAGGTGAGGGGTTTCTAGTTTTATGTCATACAGACTTCTAAAGAGTGAATGATTCATTAAAACCGTAGTAGGAAAGATTACATTTCCTTGACATTATTTTATCAGTGATGCAGTGATATGCATCTGCGATATTACCAACTGATACATCATTGTACCATAGTACTGTCTCAGTAGGCTTTTTATTTGTAAAGCAGTTTAGAGAAGTGTAATAAGTGCTGTGTCATCTGAAGAAGTCTTTCAGAGATGCTTTGTCTTTGACCAGAAACACCTCGCATCTGGTTCAGTTTTGTAACCACTCACTTTTTGAGTAGTACAGCACATGGAGCTAAAGGTATTTCATTTCACAACAACCAAATGGTTGCAGAATTCATCACCGGCTGTTTTTTTTCTCTTCAGATCTCTGTGTTGAGTGGGAACTCGTTGATGGTGAATCATTTCTGTCCTCAAACGCTTCACTTTTGTGTGCTAATTTTGGCCCTGCTGCTAATTAACAGCTCTGTGCTCAAGAGTTTGAGCTTGCAGCCGCACAAACTGTTCCCTGCTGATTTCTGTCCTCAAACGCTTCACTTTTGTGTGCTAATTTTGGCCCCGCTGCTAATTAACAGCTCTGTGCTGAAGAGTTTGAGCTTGCAGCCGCACAAACTGTTCCCTGCTGTGTGTGTGTGTGTGTGTGTGTGCGTACCTGCCTGCGTGCACACACACACAAGTTGACACCATTCTGTCAGAGCACTGTGAGAGTGAAGCTCACTGTTTCTCAAACGAGCAGAGCACAAACGAACCAACAGGAAACAGTTTCCATCACGGAATAATTTCAAACTGTCTTTCTCTCTCTCTTCCTGTCTGTCTGTCTTCAGAAACAGCTGTCTGAGTCGTTTGGCTGTCTGGTCCCTGCCGTGACGGTTCCTGACTGCTGAAAAGCTCTTGTTTAATTAACGTGTTCTGTATTAATTCAGACATCCACACAGAGTCATTATTCACAGGAGACGTGTTATACATTTACACCGTACTTGGTGTCTCTGTAATTTAACTACATTTCCAGAGTTTTCCGTAGCAGCATCAGTGTGTGTGTGTGTGTTTGGCTCATGGCTGCGTCTCCCTGTGTCTATATTTAGTGTGAGTGCGTTTGGAGTCTGCTGGATGTTTATTTGAGATGAAATTGAGAGCAGGTGACAGTGAGCATGTGGGACGATCTCACGGGACTCAATGTGACGCGTGCGACTGCTGATACGCTAAAGCTTCACTGCTGAGAGGGACTCAATGTGACGCGTGCGACTGCTGATACGCTAAAGCTTCAGTCACTGCTGAGATCTCACACTGGCAGTGTTCATCTGTCTACCTGCATTATCTGCCTGTCTTTCTTTTCTATCTATCATCCTATCAATTGTTCTATCTATATCTATATGCCTCTTTTGTCTGTCTATCTATCTATCTATCTATCTATCTGTCTGTCTGTCTGTCTGTCTGTCTGTCTATTAGTTGTTCTATTGTTCTGTGTTCTGTCTATCTTTATTTATTCACGGATGAATGGGATAACATTGGTAGAAGGGCATTTTTAGGTCATATTGAGAGCAGGTGACAGTGAGCATGTGGGACGATCTCACGGGACTCAATGTGACGTGTGCGACTGCTGATACGCTAAAGCTTCAGTCACTGCTGAGATCTCACACTGTCAGTGTTCATCTGTCTACCTGCATTATCTGCCTGTCTTTCTTTTCTATCTATCATCCTATCAATTGTTCTATCTATATCTATATGCCTCTTTTGTCTGTCTATCTATCTATCTATCTATCTATCTGTCTGTCTGTCTGTCTGTCTGTCTGTTGGTTGTTCTATTGTTCTGTGTTCTGTCTATCTTTATTTATTCACGGATGAATGGGATAACATTGGTAGAAGGGCATTTTTAGGTCATGCAAATGTAATAGAGCTCCACTGTGCCCTTACACACACACACACACACACACACACACACACACACACAAAGCTCATTGTAAATGAATTAATTTGGTGATCTCTCGCTG